GCAAACACAGACCTGGTTTGTATTACTCAGTGAAAATCTCTTCATTATGTACAGTCTAGTCGTCCAAATGGCTAGAATTTAAATAATTTATGTTGATTTAATGTCTTTATGTTGTCTTCTTTAATTCAGATACTCTATTCTGAATTAAATGCAGTATAGAAGAGGCTCAAGAAGAGCCTTACTGTGGGAATCTGGCGATTTTAGTTTAACAGTGGTTCAGTAGCTAAGAAATGTTTTACTAATAGCTGAAATCATGTGCTGACCCTTATTTCACATTAAAATGACCGGAGTTTGACACTAAGATGACAGCTGGTTAATATAACTTGAGATTTTAAAGTGCTTGAGTATATGTAAATATTTTGACTGATGCCCTAAGTGTGTTGGAAGATACTTTTAGAAATGTCCTTGTAGGAGTTTACTGCAGTCCCTGTTTTTTTGAGAATAATACTGCAGAAGATAGTTTATCTGCTGTTTTCAGAGGACATAGATAGAATAATTAAGAACATAAAATTGACCCCTGTAAAAAAAGACTGTATGCATTTTATACTGGTAATCAACCATATACTAAGAACTGCTGAGTATAAAACCTGAGATTTCAGATTTCTCTATTTCGATCACTTAAAAAAATAATGCTTGACAAGTGGACTACTTTGTCTGGTTTTATATATAAAAACATATATTTATACATGTTTCATTCTTTAGAATATATGGTAAATACATTAATAGCCTATTGGCTGAGCTAATTCAATCACTGGAAGTGTAAAGGGTCAAAAGTTGAAAGCTATTCAGAAAGAGACATTGCTGTATCTTGAAATTCTGTGAAACTTCAAAAAAAGCCCTTAAGTTTAAAGTTAAAGTTCTTAAAGCTTTTTAGATTTCAAGTAGTTGGAGCATTTTCATGCTTTTTTGCTCCAAAGCATTTTACAAAATGCTTCATGCATTCTAGCATCCTTTGTATAGTGCATAATGTTTTTTTTTTTCTTTTGAAAAATATACAGAATTGTACAGAAGTTTTTTTTGACAGAAGCAGATTAAAGAATAAGAAGTAATAATCCAAAATTAGGTGTGACCATTCAAGTAGGATTGGAATAGGATAGTGGGAATATTAAGGAGGCAAAACATCAGGCCTTCCCACTATCTGTAAATCCAGTGAGGAATAATGAGAGATGGAAGGAATGCGGCTTGTTTTGCTGGAAATTTGCATCTCACAGATTGATTTCAAGTTCTGGCCAGCCAGGGTTTTTTCTAATATGGGGCATTTTACAGGGTGTGGTATATATTATATAAATTATAATGTATTAGAAGATGGTGGTTCTACATATTGAAATAGGTGCTTATTTGGGCTGATTTTTTGCATCTTTTACCAAGGCTGGTTTTCAGTGGATCCATTCCCTGAATTGCCCCAACTGAGAGCAGCATTGGTTTTCCCAAGTACTCTTTAGTTTGCCTGCTCATGAAATTATCAGAAACTTGCTGTCTTTACCAGCACATCATATGTAATTTTTAGGAGAATTTGTTATTTACAAGTCCATCCATGTGTTTTACAGGGTGAGAAAATAAAAAATATCAAGAGGCAGCTGGAGAGATAAACCATACATGGGAAACCAGAAATAGTCAAGCAAGTAGTGTATCCTGATTGGGCTTCACCTTGTATTATTTACATGTTCCTACATCTCTGCTCACAGGGGAGTGCCAGTCATGGTGTGTTAGTGTGCTTTGGTATTCTTGAGATTCCTCTCTATCCTTCAGATTTGGATCAAATTTGCCATTGGACCAAAAATGTGAGAGTCTGCAGGTGTGCTAAAAGAATCATGGACACAAAGGAAGAAAACCTGACAAGTAATTAATTATACATACATGTATACACAGATGATGCTGATTTGTTTTTTCCTAAGATACTTGGGCTGAAAATTTTTAAGACATAAAGTAGGCTAGAGGAAGGAGTCATGAAACAAAGAGACAGGATAAGACTGTATGAAGAATTGTGCAGATCATTCGAAGAAAAGTACTTTCTAACTATTTATTTATTTATTTAATAGATTCAGTGTAGATTTTAACTTCTAAACACAGAATTCAAAGGAAGGGTCCCATACCAGAGTTTAGTCACCTAGGAAGGAGTAGATTGACCATTCTTACTGCCTGAAGTTTTTCCAGCCATGTAATATATCTGGGAGTTAATAAAAAACAGTGGAATCCCAGTGGTGTAATCCCCAGTACTCACTGGTTTAAAATGCCCAGGCACCTGGAGATTTTGTAGTTCTTAGGCTTGGTCCCCAGCCACAGTGAGAAAATGGAAGGCTTTTGGATCAAATGCTTGAATGAAAATAAGTGTCATGATATTCAGTTTGACACCAAACAAATACTGTACCTACAGATGAACAGGGTATAGATGCATTGAAAGGACGGTCTCCTATCTAAAGGTCATCACCCCATTTTGCATTGCATCAGTTTTATGCCATTCTGAGGCACAGAAGGTAGCAGAAAGTGGTGGTGAGTTCACTAGCTTGATGTGAAGCATTTTGTTCAAGAGGTTCAGTGGCAGCAGATGAGACAGTACTTTTATCTTCCTTGAGGCACTAAGGAATGGAGCTCTGATGACAAAAAACGGTCATGTGAAGTTTCTGGGAAAGTAGATCAAGAGCTTCAATTTAGCTGAGAATCTTAACAATTTGAGACTGCAGCCTGATTGATATTCTCTATGAGTACGACAAATTGTTTATGTCATTGTAGATAAAGATAAGACTTCCAGAAAGGAGGGAGGGCATCTGTACAGATACTTAAGCAAACAATGCAATGTAAGCATAAAGTACAGCATGAGGAGATATTTTCATAAGAAGTTTTCTTGGGACAATGGTTGATCCAAGGAGATCATTAATTAGCAGAAGGTAGGTCTGGCCACAGTGACAAGTTCATTATTACTTGGTTGCACTACATCTTCCATTGCCTTCTTTTGGTTTACTGGAGAAATGTAATAGGAATCTGAGACCTTGGTTGAGGTGAGGTCTAGTGCTGTTGTGCTGTTTACAGAATTGCCAAACTGGTTGTGGCTTACAATGAGTAATTTAAGATTTGCTTTGTGTTCTCTGCTTGAAGTTTAACTAGGAATTTCATATAGATAAAAATCAAATTTGACTTAAAATTGCTTCCATCATATTTATATTCACATAAACAATAATCATAGCATAGAATTCTGTAGTGTTGCATCTGGGGTATTAGTGTAGCTTTGCTCTGCAGTTGCAGGGATAGCGGTAGTCCCTCCAAAGACAGATCTGCTGTTACAGTAGCTTGTGCTCGTGAACTTCTGAAGGACTAGCAGAAGAAAGCTATCCTAGCCTCGAGGTGTGAGCACTTGTTGCTCTTACTTGGACTGTGTTCTTGTCTATGCTGAGAACTACTTTGTTGTAGCAGTCAAGATCCCTTGTGTGAAAGCAAGTGAATGAAGAGCTGTCTTAAAAGCTTTCAGGAAATTTAAATTGATGTAGGAGCAAAGTCTGGTATCCTTAATAAGCAGTTCAGCTGCCTAGCAGGAAGTGACCCATATGACAATCCACAAATAATTTAACTAGCTTTATGGACCTGTATTTTCAACATGACCTTACTGTACCCACCCTCCTTCCTCAGCAACCTAAATAAACAAACTAGGCACGTAACTCAGTAAAATCTCTGCAGCTGGTGTTGTGGCTGCATGACAGTTCTGCTTGACTGAGTGCACAGGTAAGATGTATAGGGCTGACACCTCACTGCTCACTGGATCATTTAAAATTGTATAACACTTACATAAGGAATTAATTCATTTTCTATCCACTACCACATTTTTTTTAGCAGTACCTAGTGAACAGGGAGGTGGTTATTTGTGATGCTGTTCGTTTTTAAGGCTATTTTTTTTTCCCCATGTGCTATAAAACATCATAGACTTTTTTGGGGAAGTCACTTCTGATGAGCATGAATATGGCAAGGCTGTGTAATTTCCGCTGCTACTGGTATGTGTCCACATTGACAAGGCACTGAATCCAAGCTAGAACAGCCTGCTGTGGAATAGAGCTCATCACTGTTAGCTTTAGTATCACAACAGCACAGTTACCTGGCTTCTAGTTTGCTTGGGGCACTAACTGAGGGAATTCACACCTGCAGAAAGCATGAAGCCCTTTTTAGCCAGAATTAATTTGGCCAAATATACCATGTGGGTAGCTTTCCACAACACTTATTTTAAAAGGACTGCTTAACATAGTTGTTAATTCCTAGGCTGATGTAATGTATCTGTTTACTGTTTCTTCCCCCTGCAATACTGTTTGGAGCTCTGATGCTTCATGTGTTCCTGCTGTCCATGCCAGACAGAAGGGTGAGAAGCAATGCTCAGGATGATGAAAACAGAACTGTTTCTTTGAGAAATACTGATCTGGGCAGATGGGTTAATGATAGATAGCCTGGCAACCTGATAATACAGTGCTGGTTTACCACAGATCTGGTCTCGTGCTAGTGTCTTAAACCTGTGAATTGCCTCTGTATCACAAAGGGAGAATGGGATCTGCAGTACCAAGCACCTTAAAAAAGCAAAGTTAGTTTAAAGGCTAGAGACAGTGATTCAAATTAAATAGTTAAACTACACAAGCAAAGTCATACTAAATAAATACTAAAAGAAACCATGGTCCATCACAACTGTTTCTTTGCTATTTTTGAAAGTAAATAAAAGAAGAATGACAATAAAACTAAAGCAAAGTTATTTTTCTATCAAATGTATTACCTCACTGGCATTTGTATACAAAGTATTTGGAAGAAGATTCTAAAGATTTAGCACATGCTTTGCACATTTAAATTATTACTGTTAAAATTCACAGTTACGTGTTTTAACCTTTTAACTTTTATGAAGTGTTCAGTTATGTTAATTTATGACAATTGTGTATTTTTCTAGCGATTTCCCTGCATTTATTGGTAAGCTGCAAGCTCTGATGCTTTGAAGAGGGCTTTAACCATTCTTTTGTGAATTTAATTTCCTTTTCCAGCCCCTGGCCTCACTGGAATTGTTGGAGGGCGCCCCAGAGTGTAAGTAAACTCCTGAACATTAACTTGTTGTAATGTTTGATGATAATGTTCCTACCAGTCACCATCACAAGCTTCCCCAACTTGGGAGAGCAACCACAGAAGCAGCTAAATCTCCCTGTGTCACTCTGCTTAGTAACTGATACAAGATAATAGTGAGTGCTGTACGATATGCATGCAAATAGAAAAATTCTTTATTGAATTAAATGTGAGTTATGTAACTTTCTGATCAGCTCATAGCAGTCTTTGCTTAATGAGCTGTAGGGAAAGCTTGAAATGTAACTTCGTGGCAAGGCCGGATTTCGACCACATTAATACATGCAAATTTCTGGACCAGTTTTCTCTTGTATCTGTTAGTTTTGAATATGGGCCCACCAAATTTACGTTTGTATGAGTTCACTTCACTTTGAAATGCAAGGTCAAATGCCAGAACATCCCACAGAATTTTAGCATGAAACTATTTCATGACTGAGCTGAACATAGCAATATTGAGCATGTTTAGAAAAAAAACTTGGCTTGAGTCACTTTCTTTCTAGATATGGCTGAAATCTTGTGGTGATTTATATCCTCACCTTTTCATGCTTATTTATCTAGAACTTTTCAGTCATTTAGCAAATACTGCACATGAAGGTGGGAAAAGAACCTGTGGCTGTATTTCCAGTAGCCCTGTGGAGCTGGCCTAGGTATCAATGCAGGGCTACTGACAGCGTAGTGGACTTCAATGTCAAGAAGTACATCCTTTGTCAAGAAAATATTTTTGCTGTTTTGGCTACTTCCCCTCAGTAAAATTTTCTTCAGTTTTTAAAACAAAATCTTACATTCTTAATAATGGAATTTAAGGAGTTTTTATACTTCCCAGGCTTTCTAAAGCTGGTTGAAAAACCATTGCTAGTCATGGCTGAATAGATTTAATTTCCTATGTGTTTGGTGTATGAATAATCCAAAGATGTATGATTTGCAAGTTTCATTATTTCCTAGGTAAATGCATTTATGCTTGTTGTTTTGTGTGCCCAGGTCTCCAGTTTTGAAGCCATTTTTCTTCTATTATCCCAAAAGCAATGTTCAGGTAAGACCTGGTGCTTAAAGTCTGACTTCTGTTTTCTTGAATGTAATTTTAAAAATCCTGCTGATTCTGGCATTTTTTTGGTGACTTTCAGTAATAAAACTGCAAAGTAGTCTGGTGACTTTGATTAAAAAATGTTTCCTGAGATGTTAATGTTACTCACACAGAATGTTTTGCAACAGTTGAACTTGCCAACCTTCCATTTTAATTATTGCGAATTTTGAAATATCTTGCATCAAAACTGAGCTTCTCTTTTCAGGTTCCTGGAACTGTTGGTGTGAATTATTTTTACTGCATTTGCAAAGAGTGCTTAAGAAAATTGTAGACTTCTTTGGAGGTTAATGCAGTCTCTTTAAAGAGTAGGGGGTTGGGTGTTCAGAGAGTGTAATATTTTTCTTGTGAACTGGGATACATCTTCTGAGTTTTTGGAGAGTGGTGTATTTTGTGTACACTACTGGAAGTAAATACTAAAATCACTGAATTTCCTCTGATTCAACAGGTTTTACCTTAACAGAGAGTTGGGCCTTTTTTCTTCCATATACCTTGTCTATAAAAATAGAAGTAGTTCTGTTCTTGCCTGTATTAAAAAAACTGTCAAATTGTGAACGCCTGTGCTACTATTGTGCTATCATGGAGGATCCTGTGACTCTGTGGCCCTGTTCAGTTCATAGCAGTAGTTTCTTTCAGACCAAGAATTTACAGTTCATATATCTAGGCAGCCCTAGGTGAGACATTACAGTGTAAGATGACATGCTCATCTAGAGCCTACTTATTTTCTGTGATGCAGGTACCCCTGTCTAGTTTGAAGTTTTTAAGATAAACTTGAAGAAATTGCTTTTGCTGAAACAGATACTGAATTTATCCTTTGGAAACTGCAGACAAAACTGAATATATGCCCTTCTTTTTTAAGTAGCTTGTAACTATGGCTTGTAACATCCCTCTCATGCCAAGACATCCTAATACTCAGTAAGAGCTTTCTCATCCATCCACTGTCAAGAAAGTGGCCAAAGGCTGGAATGTTGGTCTGTGTTAGGCTTCTGCTTAGGGTGGCTCTGGGAAGCTTTGGGAGCACAGGCAGCAAGTGAAAAAGTGGGCAAGGGGGAACAAATAAAATAATTTGATCAGAAAGGGACTGTTTTGTTTTTGTTCTTTAAGATTCATACATTGCTTAGCACAACCAAGCCCTATTCTTTAAGTAGCATTCTTCATTAAAGGAAAATATTTTAATTCCACAACTTTACACAGAAGATGCCATTTAGTTATTAAATCTAAGTTAATTACAAACTCTTCACAGTGAAAAAACATCAAAGAAACTCCCACCTTTCTTGTTGTCTAAAGTTGAATTACTTTTATCATCACTTACATTTTGCCTTATACAAATGGCTTGTCTTTGCCAAGTTTAGTGTGAAATTATTATCTTTATGGAAGTTTAGCCTACCAATGTTTGTTCAAATTCAGTATTAACTTACTTAATTAGAACTGTGTTCCAGACTTGGTAAACTGTGTTCCAGACTTGGTAAAATGCTATTGAGATTAAACAGTAACCTAATTTAACAAGGAGAGAAAGCAGTGTGGCATTTACTCTTTTCAGTACAGAAAATCAAAGTCCTTGCGCTGTGTAACTAATCTGACAGGGGCACTGATATGCTGCCAGCAAAATGCAGTGTGTCCTATCACTGTTGTTCTGCAGTAATATTGAGGGTAAAAATGTGGTTTGATTCAAGTCCTTGATTCAAAATTCTAGCTGTGTTTTATAAACTATTGTCCAGTAAGAGATTACAGAATGAGTATGGTATGAATTAATTAATTTACTAAATTAGAAGTCCAGTTACAAAGAGTCTAGTTTCTCTAGGTCAGCATTTGACCTAAAACTAAAGAATATTCCATAAGCAGATTATGAGTTATGTTAACATTGCCACAGTGGGTTCTTTTCTTTTGTGTTAGGTAACACTTTTCTGGGTGTCAGTTTGGATTCAATGTCTTGTTTGTTGTTTTCACTGCTTTTATGCAATTTACTGATTTTATCATAGAACACCAGTGATTTACCGTTCAAATAGTAGTTGTTTTCCATGTATACTTTGAAGGTAACCTAGAACTTTTACATAGGGATAAATTGCAGCACACCTACTGAAGGTGAGTCAGTATTAGTTATTCTTTAAGGACAATGTTAAAAAAAGTGCTGAGTAGTGTTATTTTGCATTTGCTGACAACTGAGCACTGATAACTGCTGTAGCTAAGTTCGTTTATATTGTTTTGTTCTGGAAGTTTAACCTGATTGTGTCTGAATCTTTCATACTGGGAGTCCTCCAATACAGATGAAATGAATGCCATTCACTTCCACCCCTCTTCTTCGTGTCCTGTCAGTGGTCCCAGAGGTAAAACTGAAGGGTAGCCTGCTGTGTCTGTACTTTCTACATCCTTCCTCTTGATCAAAAGGATGGTTACTGTTAAAAGCTGAGATACTAGTCCATATATATATTGGGGAGCAAGACTTTTTTTTTATCCCATGTTTTTGGAGGTGTTGAGCCACTTGATCCATGGCTGGTGCCTCTTTGTCTTTCCAGGTCATTATTGCCAATCACTTGGGATACAGTGATCATGTGCCACACGCAGATTGCTGTCCTGTGGGTCACGGGAATTGGGCTTCATCTGGATCTGACCTGACTAATCTGCACATTAGTCAGGTCACAATAAATAATTTCTAGCATGGCTGTTTCTTTCAAGGACTGGATACCTCCCTGCATTGTGGTGCTCTTATCTGGGTGACATACAGCATTTTCCTTGAAGGGATACCATTCCTTCAGACTTAAGAGGAGTCTTCTTCAGAGGCTGAGGACCTAGGTCCCTTTTTCAAATCCAGTTGTCAATATCCCCTTCCCTAGAAAGTGATCATAGCTACTTGGCTTCCCCACCCTCTAATTACAGGCAGCTAGCTCCATTATCCCAGCATCACAGCAGCCAGACGTGCTGACCTGGAAAACAGGTGAAATATTTTTGTATATCCCACATCTGATTCAAAGATAGATACCTTGTTCTGCCTCTTTGTCCTGTTTTGGTGATGAACCTGCTTCATTCTCCTTTACAAGCTGAGTTTTGTGTCCATTTCTTGTGTATCAGAGTGATTGATAATTAGGAGGGGTTAATGCTCTCATTCCTCTGCAGTGCCTGTCACTGGGGTTGGAATAGCTGCAGGGTTTTTGTTTTATCATCAGATCCAGAAACCTTCTTTTCCCCTTTAGAAGAATAGTGTCAAACAGAGCTTGGTAGGCCTGGGCCAGGACATTGCAGTGATCTGTGTCTCTCTGGAATTGCCAAGGTGACAGCATACTTTTTCCAAATATTTTACTAGTTTTTCTGGATTCTGCACTTGTTCAAAGGTGAAGTTCCAAAATGCAATGTGTTCAGTCCTGTGCTTTTGCACTTACCACCCCATAACCCTTGCTTCTCTTAACGATCCAGCCTCAGGGCAGATCTGGCAATCAAAATGTTAAGGATAGACCTTAGAGATCATCTAGTGCCAACCTTCACTGTCACGGGTAGGGATACGTCCCACTAGACCAGGTTGTTCAAGGCCTTAACCAGCCTGGCTTTGAACACCTCCAGGGATTGGGCATCCCTAACTTCCCTGGGCAGCTTGTTCCAATGTCTCACCACCCTCACAGTGGTAATAGCTAATCTAAATTTCCCCTTTTTCCATTTGTACCCATTACACTTGTCCTGTCACCACAGTTCTTGACAAAGAGCTGCTCTCCAGCTTCCATATAGGCTCCTTCAGATACTGGTAGGCTGCTATGAGGTCTCCACACAACCTTCTCTTCTCCAGGCTGAACAGCCCTAACTCCCTCAGTGTATCTTTGCAGGGAAGGTGCTTCAATCCTTTTATCAACATGGTCTCCTCTGGACTTGCTCCAGCAGGTCCATGTCCTTCATATTTTGGGGACACCAGAACTGTTCACAGTGCTCAAGGTGGGGTGTCACAAGAGCAGAGTAGAGGGGGAGAATCACTTCCTGCAACTGACTGCCCACACTCCTTTTGGTGCAGCTCAGTATTCAGTTGACTTTCTGTGCTGTGAACGTACACTGATGGGTTGAGTTTTCCATCAGCCATTATTCCCAAGTCTTTCTCTGCAGGGCTGATCTCTGAGAAATAGTCTTAAATAGCTGTTTAAACTTTGAACAAGACCTGGAACAGATTCACAAGACATGAGCCAACAGTGTGCCCAGGAAGGCCAATGGCATCCTGTATCAGCAATAGTGTGGCCAGCAGGACCAGAGTGGTGGTCATCCCCTTGTATTCCGCACTGGTGAGGCCACATCTTGAGTCATTTGTCCAGTTCTGGGCCCCTCAACTTAGGAGGGACTTTGAGGTGTTGGAGCACATTCAGAGAAGCTGGCAAAGCTAGTGAAGGATCTGGAGCACAGGTCTCATGAGGAGCAGCTGAGGGAGCTGTGGTTATTTAGCCTGGGGAAAAGGAGGTTCAGGGGAGACCTTATCTTACACTACAACTACCTGAGAGGAGGTGGAGTCACCGTACCTGGAGGCATTTAAGGAAAGACTCGATGTGGCACTTAGGTCTCGTTGACATAATGGTGTTGGATCATAGGTTGGACTCGATCTCAGAGGTCTTTCCCAATCTAGTTGATTCTGTGAAGATAAAATGATAGGAACATGCTAGTTTGAACATCCTAGGATATTCAGAATTCTCAAAATCTGTTATAATTAGCCTGGAGGATAAGTGGAAGAGGAAGGGAAGTGTGTCCCCTCCACGGTCCAATTTTCCAAAGAGAAAAGGTAAAAGTTATAATTATCAATAGTTTCTGATAGATGACTCCCAAGTACAGGGATGACAGCAATGCTGAGTGCAAATACCAGATTGGTTTCACAACCAGCAATTATAGAATATAATTAGTCAGTGTTACAAAGTACAGCTTGATAACCTCAGCTCAGTTTCCATAGGTGATAAACATCATAACAGAGAACGCACACTGCAAGTAAGGCAGTACATAATTGAACTTGAGAAACAAACGCATCAACTTTGTGAGCAAATAAGTAATTGTTGCCACTGGCTATTAAATTAATACAATGAATGCTTGTAAGAAATTTGTTCTAACATATTCTAGTGAGATCTGTTGTTATCTCAACTCATTAAGCCCCACGTTTGGCATGAAAAAGGCTTGTCAAGGTTTATTCCCAGCTGGCAACTAAGTGCCATTCAGCCCTTCTCCCCCCTCCCCAGTGTAATAGGGAGAAGAAGTGGGAAAAATGGTTAAAAATAAATCACACAAGTTGAGATAAGAACAGTTTAATAATTAAAACAAAGTAGTAGTTGTTGGTGTTATTAAAAGGGAGGTGACAAAAAAGTAAGAGGGGAATAAAACCCAAGAAATACAAGTGATTCCCATAGAGTGTCCCTCCATCCACTGACCAATGCCCAGCTTGTCCCCCACCAGTGATCAGCAGCTCTCAGCCAACTCCCCACTCTCCCCATTTACGTACTGGGTTTTTTGGTGTGGATATCCCTCTGCCCAGTTCAGGTCAGCTGTCCTGGCCATGGTCCCTCCCAGCTCCCTGTGCAGCTGCTTGCCAGCAGAGCATGGGAAACTGAAAAGTCCTTGACTTAGAGTCTGCTCTAAGTGTTGCTGCTGAGCAACAACCAAGCCCAAAATTCCTGTATTGCTGTATTTTATTAGCAGCTTTCACAAAATATATTTGAAGATGAGCACAGAATGCAGAGAGAAGTTTGTCTATAATACAGACAGCAACACTGAGAAGTAAAGGGGGTTGCATCTTGGAAAAGATGGAAATGTTCAAGTTTTGGGATTCAACTGTCAAGAGTTGTGACACAGAATTCCATTCAGTGTTGCAGTATATAGAGTGAGATGGAAAGAAGTTTGTCTTCCTTTAAAAAATATCAAACTGGAGAGAGCATTCCTTTGGGGTTATTTTATACCAATTTTTCCCCTAAACGAAGTTTTCTTTTAGGTTTATATTGAATTGTTATTGTATTGTAACCTTTTAAAAGGGAGCAACAGAGCCTTATCCGTAAAGCTATTACTGGAAGTCTACTAGATCAGTACTTAATTAGGAATATGCTTTATTTATTCACATTGCAATGGATTTCTGATTTGACTGTTTGAAAATCTGTGTTCTTTGTACAGATCAACCTATTTTTAAATGGGCAGCATGTTGAGATATTTGAGGAGGATCTCACATTTACATCAGATGAGGTGGTTTCTTTTGATCTGCCCAAGATTAGCAGTGAATTGAAAGGTATGTTCATCTTTGTACTTGCGAATTTATAATTTGCTATCTTTTTCCTGGCAAATTGTATTAGCTACTGTCTGTGAAATACACTTTGCCTCCTCATATGATACATTTTTATGGCTGTTACAAAACACAAACTGTTTTCTTGGAAGGTGGTTAGTGTCATACAGTATAACATCTATTTGAGACTGCAACAAGTATGGAAGTAAAGTTTTATTAAAAACCTCTGAGCCTTAAACACAACTGAAGATTATGTAATGCTGACTTGAAATTGAAATCTTTCAAAGTATACTGTAATCTTAGTTTTTGTGAATCCTGGGAATAGTGGGTTTATCGTATATCAAAATAGCATTCAAAATAGAGGACAGACGAACAGAATGATTTACGGACTCACAGCACTTAGATAATTAAAATTCGCTCCTGTTCTATATGGCAGCCTTCACAAAATTAACAAGAATGGGACCAACCTGGAACTGGTGACTTTAAAAACAACCATTCTGAGGTAATCATCCAGTATGATAGTTGCTGTGTTGCTGCTAGACTTGTCTAACCAAATTTTCTGAGAAAGAAAAGAACCTTGAGAAGGGCTAACTGGTGAGCCGAATGGAGCAGGTCAGGATGTCTGCAATGAAACGGAAGTGTTAAATCAGAGTTGCTCATACAAGCAATTATTAAAAGTGCTAGACACCTGAAATTGTTTTTTATTTCTAATGGCTGAACTATATACAGTATTTCTTAAAGTATAGCAAGCTCCATCATTCCCTTTTGGTCCAAACAGTCTTCATTATCTTACTTCTGCTTACCAGAGAACTGAGAGAATTAATTTAAAGCTGTGGCTAGGCATTTAGAAATCTGAATCAGATGACTCTACCTAAAAATAACAAGTTAGAAAAATTTCTGAAAATAATACTGATGGTGAAAGAGTAATTCAGGTATTAAAGTCTGTGAATACTTAAAAAAATTAATGCTATTAAGGCATTTACATGTTAAGGTTTACTCTGGATTCCAGATAAAGGTTGAGTAGTGTTTTCTCAAAACTAGTAATAGAACAGTGTAACAACTAATATGAGTTAGTAGGGAATGTTTGTATCACATAGAGAAATTTTGAAATACATACATGACTTTGTGTTTATTGCTATATAAGCCACTGATAGTGGATGCCTGATTGCCATGCATGTGTTAATTTTCCCCATCTATTCAAACATTTCTTCAATAGAATGATTTTTACCATGTGGAAATAATTTAAACTCCTAAGTAGGTTTCAGCTCTTGTGTCTATTGGAACTCTGATGTCTCACCAGCATCTCTCTGCTCCCTGGGAGTTCTCAGGAGGGCAGCATGCACAGCCCACCATCTGACTGGGCAAGTTGAGGAATAGGAAGTCATTGTTTTGCTTAATGAAAGGGTTAATAAAGGTCCTGGGTTTGGGGTCTTTTTCAAGGTGACTACAGTGCTAAATATTGGAGAAGCAAAAAGCTATTGGACTCCCTACTGCCTTTTTATAACTTGAGAAAACTTTCTGAGGTGCCTGACACAACCAGTTAACTACTGAATTCTTCAGGCAAAACTGCACTTTTGAGAGACAGAGAACTTCTCTGGTTGTTTCCCCTGAGAAGCATCTCTAAACTTTTGCCCTTGGTTGTAAATATAAATTTAGTCCCTGCATGTGACTAAATACTTACCTACTTCTGTGGCTTAATGTAGGACAGCATGGATGAGAAAGACAAATGGGTTAGACTGTAAAAGGAATAGTTTCTGTTAAAACATTTTCTGTAAGCATTTAGAAAGGAGGAAAGTATTTTTCTTAGTTTCATGGTTATCTCAAGGGTGAGGGACTGTTAGTTGTTGTTGAATAGATAAGAGAAATATGTGAAAATGGATTTAAAATATGTGCTAGATGTGCTTCTGGGATGGTGGAATTTGTATTTACCATTTTCCCTAGCTTTGAAGGGAATTCTTACATAGATTTGTTTAAGATGTTTATTAAATAAAAACAATTTCCTGATAAACGGATCATGAAAGATAAATCAATTAGGGTAATAATAAATGAGAACACCAGAAACACTGACTTGAACTGATTTTGTTTAAAGGAAGATTGTCAGAGACTGACTGTGTAAAATGTCTGATGGGGAAAAGATTTCTGTAGCTTGTGTGATTTAGATATTGTCAAATTTCAGCATTTGAAAAAGCATTGCATTTTGGCTTGAATTGTATACTGAATGAAATTAATGTGATTTCTGTAGTGTATAAAGTATGGTAGTCTTATCCAAAATGAGCAGTGAGCTTCAGCTGGACTTTCAGATCCATTCTCAATGAAAATGTTTAATCACAAATAATATTCCCCAATTAAATAAATACACCCTTAAATATTTTCTGCCACATTTCCACATTTCCTGGCACATTTCTGCTTGCAATTGAATGTGGAAAAGATTGTGAGCTTCAAGCTCAAAACAAACCTCCTGTGTTCCTCTTTTTCACTGTATGCTTTAACCTCTTCAAATTTCATGTTACTCTGACTTTCTGCCACTGAGGGGCCATTGTGCCCGACTGAACCATAATCACTCTTTCAGCTCACCTTTCACAGTGACCCAATATATATTATAAAACTTCAGTTTTATAATATAAAACAGTAATTAAAGCAGTCAGTGCTGATAAGTTGTTGTTTGGGCAGATTGTGGGAAGATCTTTCTGATGCAGGTGTGCCAGTAGAAGAGATTGCTGTGGTGAGCCCATAGTTTTTCATTGTTTTCCTTGTAATTGCCACTCGCGTGTGCCAGCAGAGTTCCTCTTGTGAGTGTTAACTGATCTGCTTCAACCAAACACAGATACACTGTACAAATTGCAAGTCATGTCATACTAAGGCATTTTTATTATCCAATATATCTCCCACCCCATATCCAAATGGACTTGGGGGATCTGTCCAGCTGCCAGTGCCACAGAGAGGGTCAGTGAGAACTGCAGCCAGTAGGATTTGGACATAGTTTCTTTCTTATCCAGATCAGCCTGCCTCATGTCTGTCTCAGCAATTTTCTGTGGGCAGGAAGAAGTTGAAGGTAAGGATGATTAAGCTACGGGTGGGTTTACCTGATGGCCTGATGCAGTTCACAGACTACATATCTGCTCATGCCTGCATAGTAGGTGCACTGTGTTCTAAGTGATGACCCAGGCCAGTATTTGGAGCACAAGATCTTTAATATTGGGTCTCCTACTCCCTAAAATCAAAACAAAATTTAAAAAGGGGAAAAAAAAAAACCCTAATAGTTTGGTATTCTCAGCAGAAGCAATAATAGTACAAAAAGGACAGACTTATGTATTTTCAAATTGCATTGTGCCTTGCTACATGAAGTTAGTCCAGAACAATTGATTTACAAGACCTTGTATATTCAATTCCTTTAAATTCTGGACATTTGTAACTTGTTCTTCTGGCTGCCATCAGCAGCAGTTGCACCAGAAGCTGCCACAAAGCAGGAAGGTGGTCGCTTCCCTGCCCTGCATGTTCCCCCTACTGGTGTCCAAGGAGCAGAGAGAGGGGGAGAACTGCCACTTGTGTCCAAAAGGATGGAAGAAAAGACAGGAAGGGGACAGAGGAGAGAAGGACTGAGGGATGAGAAATTTACTGTGAGTCAGGAGTGGAGGTCAGTCTGTTATTGATGGTGAGACTGAAAAGCCAAGGAGTCCAGGAGAGTTCATATGGCTGTAGGAAAGTTGGATCAGAAGCAAAACTGACTGAAAATTACTCGATTCTCACTGCCTAAAAGCTTGGATATAGCCCATGCTTCAAGTTTGTCTTATGTTGTGATCAACAAATAACTTGGAACTCATTAGCAGAGTGGGTGCTTCATCTTTTGCTTTAGAGAATAGGAGCTAGATGGTGACAGCCTCCTACTCTCAGAATCAACACTTGCAAGAGGTCTGTGCTGTGTAATTTAACTGTCAAATCTCAGGTATATACTGTGTGAATCCCACAATATTAAATTTCTGGATTTGGACAGGAGAGGGTTTGCTTTTTGCTAAATTGATGGATAAAAATATTTCATACGAACTTCATTCGGTGAACTGCAACAACCTCATTGTTTCTTGAACATCCAATACTCAGACATCAACAAGTTAGAAAATCAAGTATGGCTTCTTCAAAAGCATACATTTTCTTATATAATACTAAGATATTTACAAAACCAGTAACTTGAAAAAGAAATCTGTATAGTGCAAATGCAAGTGAGAGATGCGTGGTCTTGAAAAGGAATTTAAGTTTTTACTGTTTTCTACAGGCATTAGCAGATAAAACAGATGTTACAGAATTATCAGGACAGGAGCAACTGCAGGTATTTTCCAGCTGCACTGGAAGCAGAGATCTGTGTGTTAAGGGGACAAAAATTACTGGCTAGTCAAGAAAAGACAAGCAGCTGCTATGCCTCGTTTGGAGGTACTGCATTGCTAAGGCCAAGATGTCTATTGAAGGGTCATGGAAGAGGGGATGCCTGGTACAGCATTTGGCTGTAAAAAAGTGAAATGGATTTGGGAGATGGAGCAGGAGGGATCAACTTTATAATGTTGCCCAGTCTCACCTCTTTATCTCTAGGTGCTCCTATGAGAAGAAGGATTGGAAATGTTTTCAGATTAGCGCAGACAATGCAAAAAGCATGCACTTAAACTGATAGTTACTGCTTTAAAATATGCAATTATTTGTAGCACCATTAAAATGAATTCATTTTTATGTTGTACAGATCTGCCAAGTGGTCCACATACTTACCGCTTAGAAGAGCTTGCTTATACTAGAAGTGGAGACAAAGGCAATTCTGCAAACATAGGTATTTTTATTTCTTTTGCTTTCTGAAGTGATGTAACGTTTTCATAAGAGTTACATATCAAGTGCTAGTTTAAATTTGTTTAAACATCATTTGACCTTTTTTATAATTGTACTGAAACAAAAGACTATGTATTGAGTATGGATTTTACTAATGAAATATCGGTATTCTTCTCATTAGCAGCTTTTGTCATCTGAGGTACTAAGAAAAAATACTAGCATGTCATACTAAAACGGTTTTTGTTTAGGGTTGGAAAGTTGAATTCCCAGAAGTTAAGAAATGTCTTTTTAAGGTTTCTTTTACACATCAGTTGCTACTCATTCATGTATATTTATTACAAAATATAATTTCTTGGTTGTCTGATGATGTATAATCTTTTCATACATTAATTTTGTAACACGTGTATGGCTAAAACATTGACAGTATTAGGAAATACTAAAGTTTTTCTCATATGTACAAGAACATTATTATATTGCTAATGCAAATGGTATATTTCAGTGTGCAGTCTCTTTGCATTGATTGTGCTGCTTCTTGCATTGTTTAATAATTCCTTCTATTCCTTACTTCTGCATGCAACAATTGGCTCTCTTACTTGTTGGAAGATGAGAGCGTGTGGTGTTCAAAGCTCAGTATGAATTAAAGGTGCGTTTGGGATTTGATTTGCTATTAGCTGTCATGCTGAAACTGATGAATTTTGTTCATTTGTATTCAGGAATATAGTTTTCTTGTCCTTGTTTGTGAAACTAGTTTTTTTTTGGGTTGAAGAATGAAGCAATGTTGATTTTTTTCCTTTTTCCTTTTTTTTTCTTTTTCTTTATCTGTGATTGATCATTGTTGGAGTGTAGCATTGCCATCATGAATGATGTATATGTAATAGACTGCTTCAGATACAAAGACACTGCTGTTTTTCTAAGGAACAACACTAACAACAACAAACTTAACCTCTAATTTAAGTCCAGATAGAAAGGTCCCAGTGATACAAAGCTGTTTTCCTGATCCTGCTCTGGTACCTCAGCTTCAGCATAAAATTAGCTGAAGCTTATAAAGCATATTTACAGTAATAAAAATGTAATTGTGATTTGTCGTACTTATGTGAGATTCCCATGCAAGAGGTGGGGCAAGGACCAAACCTTTGGTCACTGATCATTGTGGTTAATTGTGATTACTTAAATATCCAAGTCTTGCAAACCATTTAAGGGAAGAGAATTGCCTGTGTGTTGTTTTGTTGTGATGATGTTGTTCTTTAGGTGTCTTTCAGTGGCAGGGACTGTTTGCAGCAGAAAAAATCCAGTGATCACTTAGTGGTGACTTAGCATTCTTTGGTGTCATGCTCTACCCTACATCTCTACTGACAGAGGGAGAGCTGTCATACTGTTGTGGTTTTTATTCAGAAGCTCATTAAAGGGGATCCATATGTACAGTTTCAGTTAAGCAGAGGACCTCAAATTGGTTTTGAAAGGATAAATACAAATTGGTTTTAACAGTTCCTATTTCAGCTAATGCCAGTTAATGCCTAACAGGTGTGATAGCACGGCATCCCCTCTACTATCCATACCTAAAGAAAACTTTAACTGCTCAAGCCCTGGAGAATTACTTTCAACACCTTTTAGAGCGCGAGAAACCAGAAGAAGAGCTAGTAACAAGGTGAGTGGCTTGCTGCACAGCCCATAGTTGTATGGTAGATACATGATGGTATCAGAAGTTACCTTAAAATATGTTAACATAAATATTGTAAACTTAAATTAAAAAACCCAATGAAAATACAATGTATTTTCCTTTGCCTTTTAAAATAACTTGAGCATAGTCACTGAGAAAGAACATGAACTTGGGCCTCTCTCGAAGCTGGACGAAGGCTGTGAATCTGTTTAGTGAAGGCATTTAAATTCTCAGAATTAGCATAGTAGTGTTGGGGCTGTTCCTTTGTTTTGTTCCAGTACAGAATGTCTTTACCAACTAGAAATAGCTTCCAATGCCCTTTGAGAAATTTATCTTTACACTGGTTTTGCACTGTTTGCAGTTCCCAAATCTGCAGGAGCCTTGCTAACTGAAGCTTCCCAAGCCTCTGAGCCACTGCTGAACTGAGAGCTAGAAATCTGTAAAACACTACATGAAATACATTCACACAGCCACTGTAGTCTGGAGCCCAAACTTATCAGATAATCCATCAGAAATATGCCTCATACTGTCCCTGTTTCTGCAAAGCATTTTAGTATTTATGAAGTTCACTCACTTTATCTAAAGTATTCTTTCTAGTACTTCACTCTCGCCCACTTTTGTGCCATGTATACCAAGCCAGAATTTAAAGAAAAAGCATAGCTAATTTATCTTAAAATTTGAAAGAGAATACATCCTGAACAGGACACTTCTGTGATACTCATCTACAAAAGAATATCCTCTGCCAGCAGACAACAAATGTAATATTCTTATTTTTGTGGTATGGCTGATGCTCAGGGCCCTTCCTAGGACTGAATGAAACATGCACTGCTCTTGTATGCTCTTGTACTGTTGTAGCATGAGGTAATGAAGCTCGCTCTCCTAAGGATGGCCAGTAAAACAGTCAACAGATTTTCAACCTTTTTATCTTTTTGAAAACAAGTAAAAGCTGAATACAGCCACAAACCTTCTTCTAAAGTCTTGTAAAACATGTTTTGATACAAAGTCAATTATGCTGCACATAAGGAGATTTTGCCAGAATCCTTTATGTATTTCCATGGGTAATGGATCAACTGTTCACTGTCTTTTTGTTTGTTCAAAAAGCTTGAGTCAGAAAGGTACCGCTCAAAGCTCAGAGAGAGCTTGGAGTGGGAGAGATGGAGAGCTGATCTCTCAATTGTAAGTGCTGGTTTTGTCTTCATAAGCAGCTCAGTGCAGATCTTGCCCACTGTTTCATAAGTGCTAGCAAATCTATGTGTCTAATAAATTGTGATACTAAGAATTGTAATTGAATTTCCTTGGAAACAGAGTAGAGATGAGAAGAAATAAACAGTGGCATGCCTCCTAATTATCCTTCTAGAAATTGATTCGTTGTCATTCCTTAATGCTGTTTATGTTCATAAATAAAAGTAGAAATTTGCTCTCTCTGGATGAAGCCAAATTAATTTGATTAATTAGATTATCTGTTTGTGGTTTTGGCTTCCTTTAATGATGTGATAATGGAGCTCTGTGAGTGAATTGGAAAGCTACTGGGGAAAAAGAATAAAACCTTTTGTGGAAATATTTAGGATTATAGGGATTAAGCTCATGTGCTTCAGATTGTGTAGTTTCTTTTTAAATTACTTGTTTATTTTTTAGTTTTAACTGTCATTAAAAAGAGTTGTCTTACTGTCTGATTTTCCTTCATTTCCTTTATTTAAATGGTGAGTAGTTAAAAACTATGTATTAGTTTTGCTACTATAAACATACCAACTATGGTTCTACTTACTGCAGAACAGAGTCTGCTAACCAGCTGCCTTTCATGCTTTTTCATGAGAGGCATTAAATTGGTGTACTAAACAGAGAAAAGGTTATTTTGAAACTCAAACTTCCAGATCTGCAGGTATAATAGTAGCAAAAGATGATCTTTCAATCCTCAGGTGATTGCTTCCCACAGGAGAGTGCTGGAGTACATTTGAGTGCCTTAACACAGAGAACAAGAAACTTTTTGTGCAGTGGTACTAGGTCAGTCATTTAAGGACAGTAAAACTATCCTATAAGATTTTGTTATTTGCATCTTCTGAAATGTGGTATATGTAACGTTTTGAGAACATTTAAATGCTCATAAGTATTAAAAATTGACAGCTGATTTCTTCCTATGCAATGTTTTCACCAAGAGCTGAAGAACAAGGAATGTGGATGCTGATCCTTCTAGATGCTTTTTTACATACATTTGTTAGGAAAAATAAGTATTTCTCTACAGTATATCTCATATGCAAACACTTCTTTAAGCCTATGGACTTGGCTCCTGCTTTCCTGTGCTGAAAAGAATCCTGTCTTTTCCTTGATTTAAATGCTTTAAATAATTTTGTATCATTATTACTTCCATGCTTCTCTGAATATTATGGACAGCACTTTAAAGGAAGTAGTTAAGCAGGCACTCCATTGTGCATAAGCGTAGGAATTCAGCAAGAACAGTGAATATTCCTTACTGGTTTCTGTCACAGAGTATTCTTTGAAAGGTTTGTTTTCTGTTTTTAAAAGCAGCTCTTAAAACATTTAGTTAAGCTGTACAATTAGATAATTTTTTTCCTTTAGATCTCAGTTAATTAAGATTAAATTGTTCAGTTATGCTGAGTAAATGCCTGCCAGCATTTTGGTCAGTCTATTGTTGCTGCTTAAGACTATTATAATGGCTATAGTGGTTTTTCTTCATTTTATTGTGGAAGTTTATTTTCTGTGTGGAAATATTTTGGATGCTCAGATGCTTCAGACAAGCCTTAAATTAATGAAGATGCTGGCTTTCATATATTATTTTATAATTCTCATTTTCGCAACATTATCCCACTGTAAATATTTTCTCAAAATAAATAAAATGAATGTGCCATGTTATAGTGTTCCAAATAAAGATCTGTTGTTTGTATTACGTATTTTCTCTGTCGAAATTACTGCAGAAAGTGAAATGAAATTCTTCCACTTATTTGTATATGCTCCTCAGTTTCTCTCTTGATTTCTTTTTCCTTATTGATTTTCATGACACTTCTTTTGAAAGATGAGATGTTAGGAATTGAAATTCCATCAGTTTAGTTCTTGAGAAGACATCCTTCAGTTGTGAAATTCTATGCTGCCTGGAAATCTTTGCCAGCTTTTCAGAGTAACATTTATAGTGTACTCCTTTGCTTTGGTAGATCTCTGGCTTTCGTGGTATGTGGTGATTGGCAATTTTTATTTAGCTTTTTAGAAAATTTTGTGGAGTTATGCTATATAGTTGATTATAGTATTAAATTCAGTAAATTAGGTAGGTAACTTATTGTAGAATTGCTTTATTCTTCATATTTGTGTTGTCTAATAGAGCACTGGTGGATTACTCTACTTTCCTGCCTTCCCAGTGGATTTGTCTTTAAGCATGATAATGGTGCCTGTCAACTAGTTTTCGAGAAAGGGCAGCAGAATGCTGACACCAATTTTTTTTCTTAATAAGAACTAATAATACTAATACTGAAGTAGAGTGTGGAAATTAAAAAATAGAAGGAAATTAAATCTTTTTGCCTGGGAGACAGACACAGACACTACAATGACTACTTACTTTCTACAACAAGAACTGCAGTGATTGCCAGACTGCTCACCACAATCATCACTTTCCATAAGAGGTTTAGGTCATATGCCCAAGATAAAAGGGCAGACAGGGCTGTGAGTACCAGCAACTGCCATGGTTTTCACAGTTCTCAAGAGGGAACTGAAAGAGATAAACCTCAAAGTGACAAAATCAGCAGTGTAAGAGCATTGCAAGAAATTCCACCTGTATTAGAGGAAAGATTTAAAGAATCTGTCCCAAACAGATGAAGATCGGGTAGGTGACTAAAAAATAAGTGATGTTGGAGGAAGCTGGATTTAAATTGGGTATCATCTTTCTCTGTTAATTCCTCATGGCTTGATGATGTTCTGATTTAAATCCTTTCCTGTGGATTAAAGCAAAGCTATTGGGTACTTAGATGAAGAAAACATTGAAGGAACGCAAAACCAAAGAAAACCAACAATAGAAGGAAGATGACAAAACAGTGCAAGGAGAGGCAAATGGAAATATAGTGTAGACCTATTTATGGAATTTGAAACAATAGGAAACCACAGAGCTATTTGCCAAACTGCTATGGAAGTTTCCAAATTGGAACTGCACCAGTCAAAAGCAAGGATGGAAAAATGCTTACACTGGTGATGGAACAGAAACACAGGTCTGTCATACTAAAATAAAATTTTATCCGAACAATGTACACGGCTCCAGGAAAGCTCCAATTTGAATTTGCCATAAAGTTATCTGTTCGTCATAAGACTTGACGTAGCGACTCATAGATGTTTCTCGGTAATGAAGAAGGTATCTCTCCAATTAGCTGGCAGCATTTGATAGCAAAAGTGAGTTCCAGGAATTAAGTTAATTGTACTTTTCAGTATCAGAACTATGAGCCAATAAAAATACTTCTTTTGCCCATCGTGTTGTCCAAGTTCATATTGGATCTTGAACCTCTAGCTTGCAGCTGCAGACTTTAACTCATAGAATGAAAGAACTCTAGAAACAGCCCTATTAGAAATTGGTGAGTTTTGAATAGAGGAGCATGATTACCTTATGGTCCAGCTTTAAAACTATTAAGGGCTGGTAATTTGGAGTACGAAGAAGGAACAAGAAGGCAGGTAAGGCCTTGTGTTAATCTTGTTACCTTTTGGACTTGACTCAGCAGTGGGATGTGATCAGAAGCATGAAAATTTTGCATGCTGGTTTTTGTTTGATGTTCTCTATACGTGTTTCTTCCAAAATCTGCTGAGAAATAATGTGCAGTTTTTATTTTACAGATATGAGTTACCAGGAATCCATGGATTAAATTTTGTTCTGAAGAATTCCCTTGGTGGTGGTGGTATAGCATCCCTAAGAAGTGACCCACAGGCATGTATCAAAGCAGTAATTCTAATGTAGTCATCTTTTATGGGTCCCTTTATAGCCAGCTTTTGGGCTGGAACTGTGAGGTTTGGGGTTTGACTCCACTTCCTTTTAATTTCCTGTTAATAGATACTGTCTATTTAATTTTGTACGGTTTGAAAACAACATGCTAAAGTAGAAAGTGGATTTGGAATATGTGGTGAAAAAAATGTGTACTAATAAGATAGCACATCATAAAAAACATTAATGATTTGAAGACTACCAGTCTTTTTGATGCACCAACAAATTTAGTTTATCAGAAACTAATTTCAGAATTTAATATCAAACTTTTTTCTCATTTTGAAAAATGCAGATTTACTAGACAGTTCTGATTGTTTCCAGGTGTATACAGGAACCATGCTGTAGGACAACTCCTCATTCAGCCTATGCCTTCTATAGTTAAAATACTGATAAATAATGTATAGAAACGTGAAAAGCAGATGGATATGAGGTCTTTTGTGTTGATGATTTTATGTGAATCTGAAAGTAAGAATTTTTTTTAAATGTACAATCTGACTATTAAATATTTAAAACATCTAAACCTGAAGATGAGATCCTGAGCAATGCTATAACTTGCACAGCTGTGTTCATAGGCTCAGAAATGCTCATGTGCATATAATTTCAGCATAGTCAAGAAGATTGCTCACAAGTAAGGCAGTGCTATGTATGAATAGATAGAATTGAACCCCAAATTAATTGATTTTAGCACTAGGTACCAAGTAAATGGAAGACACTTTTCAGTCTATTCAGATTTGGATGCTTGAAAACTCAAGAAGCTTAGAATGAATTCTCACCCTGATTACAGGAAAAACACTCATATGAAAACATTTTTAAAAAATTATTTTTAAAAGATGGTATATTTAGATGGTAAAATAAAATGTTGGTTTGGTTCTTTTTCTTACAGGGTAAAGCACTTGGACAGATGCTGTTGGATTTCCAGATTAAAAATGTTCCTGATTTAAAATCACTGATAGAATAACAGGTGCTTAATATATATGCTTTTAACACTAAGTGGTATAAAAACATATTATAAACAAGAACTGGCTTCTTGAATGAGATTTTCTTTAAGGCTATAGAGTAGAAATTTGACAGTTATTTCTCACAGGTTTAGCTATATGGCACAGATTGGCAAATGTTTTCATTAATACCAGACTAATAGCTTTGTCTGTGCTTGATAACATTTTGTGTATAGATAATACAGTGGATGAAGAATCAGTTTATTTCCTGAAAAACAGAATTATTTAAATTGCAACATAGCATTTAATTATGAGACAAGATAATCTTTATTTCAAGATGGAAATTACCTCCTGTTCCGTCCATCTCTCTTTTCCTTCTCTTATCCTTTATTTGAAAATCGCTTGGACTGCTGTCCTGTCAGCTGTGTCTGTCCTTTGCAGTTGGTGAGGCCGGGTAACCTGCTCTGCACTGCTGGGAGGGCAGCACTGTCTGGTACTGGGGAACAGTTTTCCCTGCTGGGCAATAAAGAAAAGTAATAACTGGTACTGTTATACAGTGACTGGTCATAAATGCTGACCTTTGGTGGTGATCCACCAAACTTCCAGCACTTTGTCTGGTTAATGACAGACTTTTTTATTACATTTTCCAATATCTTTTACTAATTAATCCTTCAGTTGAAAGCACTGAGTAGTAGTAAGTTTCAGATCTTAGTGTGGTAATAAATTTGAAGATGAGGAAAGGGGAGTCTCCTGCTCATTCCTTCTTGTGGTGGTGCAATCCTGGCAGAGGTGAAGCAGGGCTGGGTGGTTTTGTTCCAGACCTATTAAATCCTTGATTTATGCAGCAGAGTCATGCCTGGATTAAGTTTATTTGACTTTCATTTGCATTGTCCTTCCCACAAAAAGGTGTTTTCTGCTGTGAAGGAAAACCATATTGAATGCAGTGTACTCTTTCTTCTAACTCCCAGTTACACCTCTCCATCTCCCTTCCTGCACAATATGATTAGCATGTTAAAATTGGGATACTTCTAAACTACTTCATCTCATTAAGAAGCGATTTAAAAATCTGTATTGTGCTTTCTGGGACAATAGCAAGGTGGAAATTCTGATAACTGTATTTTCTCTGCAGAAGCCATAAAAATATTATTCCATGTGTTCAGGCATTTTATATTCAGAAATTAATATTTTTGTTTATTTTGGTGAGATTGTTTTATTTCTTCAGTGCTGACAAAACTAATAGCAGACAAAATTACAGAAACAAGTACTCTAATTGTCACCAAACCTATCTGTTAGTTCCTAAATTTCCAGTGCTGTCTATTACTATTATTAATTTCCTGACCTCTTGCTTGCTAATGAGGACTATGCAGTGAATTGTTCCCACTTTTTCTGTGGTTTTGTTCATTTGATTGAAAGTATCATAAATGAATTCTTTATCCAGCTAAACAATTATTGCCTGAGCACATCATAGGTACTGTCCATGTGTACAACATGATTGTCAGGTTGTAAAAAATAAGTCATTACTTCATTGCAGAAAAATAGCCAAGTTAATGACTTCAGAGGGAAAATGGCATGCAGGTTTTATTATGTTTACAGTCATTGTTTGTTAGAAAACTCTCCTTAATAATCTGGAAGCCTATTGAGAGAAGTAGAAAAAGTGATAGACCTCAGTAGCAAACCTACAAGGATAAAAAGGCTACAGTAAATTTTTGCAGTTCACTCAGTATGTTGCTTAAGTGACTCTGGAAATGTGTATGCAAAAAGTTTCTAAATAAAAGTGAACATTTATAAGGTATAAATTTGGTTTAGTTGTTTATGTGGGTTCTTCTACTGGAAGAAAGTGATACTTAGTTCAGAGGTTCTTTGTTTGGAGTTGTTTCATCTGCCTGCAATTTCATGTATTGTCTTGCTGATTCCCTTTGTTGTTCAGATTTTTTCTGTTCTGTCCCTAGTCTTTGTTAAATACAAAAACCAAAAAAGTAAACTATACTCTTGCTGGAGAGCTGGTCACTTACAGCTCTGTAATGGAAGCTGTAATTTGCTGGAAGGAATGGTATAGTGTTCAAATGGATTGGATATGGGAATAAAAAGGTGTTATTTTTTATCTGTGGAGTAGCCCATATGGATGCTATTAAACCATCCTTCACAAACATGTTTTCTGTCTGTTATTTCTTTCAGCAGACCAGCTTAAACCAAATGGCTTTACTTTTTAGATACTATTCTTGCAAATTATACCCTCCAAAAGTCCCTATCCGAAGATGTTATTCTCCTTGAATGCCTTAACATGTTTTGAATTCATGCAACTATACTTATTTCAGCAGTCCTAGATGATCTGAAAGTAAAACTTGACCAATTGAGAAAGGTTTGGTAAAATATACACAAAAGTGAGCATGTATGCAGTCAGCATTGGTTTAACTTCAGTCAGTTCAAAAATTCATTTTGCCCTCTTGTTAAACCAGGTCTGTTCCTCATATAGGCAAGAACATACCCTTCCAACTCCCCGCCTTTCCTGCCTTTTCCCTACTGTGTTAACTGTGAGAGCAGGATGGAAATAGTAATGTCTAGTGCATAAAATAAGGTTCCTTCTAATACAGGAGTTTCAGTGTAATGGAAACTGGCTTACACCTCTTACTTAAGTTTTTGTACTTTGGCTCATCTGCACTACTAAACAAAGGCTGCATTCTTACCTCTCACAGCTTTCTTACTGCATCTTAGCCTAATTCAAAAATAAAGCATGGGCTTTATCATTAAATTATTCCACAACAATTAACAGTCCAAACAAATACTTCCTCAATTATTTTGTTTATATTTAATATTCCAGAGTGATTTTCCCACTTAAATTTGTGTACTAAAGGTACAAAAGCTATTACACAGTCACCCAAGAGGATGTGCCAGTGTTTGATGCACAATGTATGTTTTTAGTTTTGCCATCTCCAGTAGAGATGTTTATACACTAAAGTAGATGTTTTCTTCCCTCTTTCAGATGCAAAATTACGGTAAGTATACCTTACATTGCACTGTGGAAGTTTGACAGTAATAGAAGTGCAGCCCCTTGTGTTTGAAAGCAGAAAATGTTGGGTTGCAGGTTGCTTTTCAAGAATCTGAATTGTTTAATTCAGGAAATACTTTGATATGTTGTATTAAGTGCTTTGCACACAGTAATGCTCACAACAATTGCAAGGTAGTGGCAAAGTATTCACTACTTGGGTGGATTCCACAGATCTGTTGGTTCTGTAATGCCTTTTGGCCTTGCTCACTGGGGTTTCCGGGCATGAGTGAGTGAGTGCGTGGTTGAGGGGAGGGAGAGAGGAGGCTCTTCAGTCCCTGAGGC